TGCTGACGCTGGCACATTGCTGCTTTAATCCACGCCTTCGTAGCTCCAAGCATGTAGGCGAATGTGCCGACACAGCCCGTTTGCCCCCGTGTTGCAATTCACTCCCTCAGCAAGTTTCTAGCTGATGCCTCCAGAGGCGCCGAGGCTGAGCTAGACTCTCAGTTCTCCAAGGACCTGGGCTGCCTGGGACCCAGGGTGTAGCAGGAAAGGCAGCCCGGGTGACGTGTCAGGGCCCAGGGGACCCACCGCCTGTGAGCATGTAACCACAGTCATGAGGAAGTGAAATCCCTCTCACTGAAACGTCCCTGGGCCTGGGCAGGAGCCCAAAGGTGCTGGGGGCCCCTCTCAGCAGCTCCTGCACTGCCACCAGCACCAGAACCAGCACCAGCACCAGCACCGCCCCCGCCAGGTGGCGCCTCAATGATGAGCCGGAAAGTTCCAGGCTGCCTCCAAGGAAGGGCACGTGTGTGCTCCCTACTCCCGGCAGCACTCGATAAAAGCGGGTGACCGAACACGGACACAGGGCTTGAAGTCTCAACTTGACCTGGGCCGATTCGCTCGCCCCTGTGTCCCTCGCTGCCAACCCTGCATCTCCGTCCCGGTTCCCGCAGACGCGGCTCCGTGGGTCTAACTAACGTTGTCCTCGGCCGGCCAGGCTCCTTCCACAGTGCACTGGTGGCTACGGGGCTTTCAGCCCTTTCGGCCCATGGGCCCAGGCTCCCCGACCTGGACCAAGCAGCCCCAACACCTCCTCGAGCCGCACGCTACGTACACTGTGCTTCTGAGCTTCCAGAATTTTTCTACAAGCAAAACAAAGTAATTCCAGGGCGGCGAGGCCCTGACCATCAGGACATGACGGTCACCCCGCTCCCGCTGCCTGCCCCGCCCCCTCGTCCTCCCGCACTGCCATTCTGAGTCCGTTCCCAGGGTTTGGGTGACGTTGCAGAGGGCACGCGGGCCCGGGCTCCTGTGAGGCAGGTCTCTCGGGGACAGTCCCCGCCCCTGTTCTCTGAGTAACCCTTCGTTTCTGCACCGACGTCTCTCCCGGGCTTCCGGCTCGGGAAAGTGGCTTTGCTCAGACGACAACCCTCACGCTGTGACTTCTCATACACTGCGCCCTTGGGTGCTACTCCCAAACCCCTCCCCAAATACAGCAAAAGGACGTCCTTCGTCAGAACGTCTGACACGCAGTCGCGTCCTCGAGCCGTTTTCCCGGTTTCACTTGTGGGAAGGCCGAGCGCACTCGGAAAGCAGAACCTCGGCCTCCTCTTCAGTCCAGCGTAAGCCGAGGCCTGGGCTACGCGGAGCTCCGCTGCTCCGGCAGGCGCCACCCGTCCGGACCCAGACCCGGTCGGGCAGGGCGGCCGACCTGCCTCCCCCACACCACCCCTGTCTCCCCACACCTGGCAGGGCGAGTGCCTCGGCTCACACTGCTCACCTGCGCCCGGTCGCTGCTGCGCTTCTCATGTCCCTGTTCCTGTTTTCAGCGGCTCCTACCTGGGTGCTGCCCCCGCAAGGTTCCCCTTCCCGCGCCCCTCCCCCGACATCGGCCTCCCTCACTGCTTGGTCAGACAGAGAGCTCGCGCACCGCGGAGTCGCCACGCAAGCGCGCAGTGTGGCGGTGCGTAGCGCCCTCCTCGCCACGTCTCATTTCACAGGCCGGGGCGGCCGCCCCGGGAGCCAGCTGATGGTGGCCTGGGCGCGCTCTCCTGCGCGTGGCCCTTTGGCAGCATTTCTCCCTGAGAAGCACCGTTCGGGGGCTGCTCTGTGCTGCGAGCTGTCGGTGCTTCACCCCTTTGTGTGGCTGAGTAGTTCCCATCATGGGGATGGACCACGTTCAGGGGACACCTAACCTGACGGTTCTCATTTTGGGGTCTCGTGACCAGCGCCGGGCGGCCCGTGTCTCCACGCCTCTGAGTTTAGCTCGAGCGGGGCCGTTGTCCGGCCTCGTGCTGGCTCCCTGCTCGGCAGCGTAAGGAGCTGCCAGGGCCTCCAGCGCAGTGGCACCACCCTACGTCCCCGCCAGCGGTGGTGGCCCCGGTTTCTCATAGCGTCCCTTGCCAGCACGTGCTGTCTGGCTTTGGCTGCAGCCACCGACCGGCCAAGCCCAGGCTCCGTTATGTTCTGCTTTCCCGGGGCCGGTCTGCCCTGCGCAAACGTCTGGCCAGGCGTCTGCCCCTCGGGGCCCGGGCACCCCTTCCTCTCTGACCCCGGGACCCCGCACACCCAGTCTTACACGGTGGCCTCGGGCACGTCCTTACCACAGGCCTGCGGCCTCACCTCACACGACAGCAGCTTCTCAGGTTGACTAAATAAGGAAGCGCGTTACGGACGTGATTGGCATCCAGGCGGCTGGGATGGGTCACCGGCATGGTGTGGACGGAGGGCGCCGTCTCACCCACAGGCGTGAGCACATCGCCTCAGCTGCAGGCGGGCGAAGGCGGGAACAGTTTGCAGGCATCGCCCACCTGCGCCCCAGCTCCACGACCCCCGTCTCCCAGCAGCCGAGGCTGCTCACTCTCGTTCCCGCCCTCGGAGCCTGGCCGGCCTCACTCTGCTCCGTGCCAGGCCGCTTCGTGAGCTGCAGAACAAGAATCAGAGACTTAAACAATAATACACGTGGACGAGCCTCAGTGTCTCTGGTTCGGGAGCTTGGGAGCCCCTTAGCTGTACTGGTTTGGGGTCTCTCGTAAGGTGCAGTCGAGCTCCGTCTGCACGCGCTGGCAAGTCGGGCATCCAGGTCCTTGTCACGTCACCGCCAATCACGGGGCAGCATGGTTCTCACTCTACGTGGCATGTGCACACTCAGAGGACGCTGATTCCCCTGTGTGCCTGGCCCGCAATAGCATGGGTGGCCGTCACGTGGATGGGGACGCCGGGCCTGGCTTTGTGGCTCAAATGGGGCCATGTGGCGAACCGCCCCCAAAAGGGAACCCAAGGCCCTTGCCTGACCTCTCAAAGCAGAACCGTTCCTGCTGGGTGCAGGGCAGCTGAACCGTGCCTGGTTTGGAAGTGACCCCAGCAGTCTCGTACCCACGGCCGCAGCCTCCCCTTTCCAGGCCTGACCACATTGCCCTCCACGTGGCGAGCCAGTCCGCCTGGCCCTCCCACAAACCCCACTCCATGGCCTTGAGGCCTAGTCGCGGCCCCTCAGCAGACCTCTGCGTGGTTTCCTCGGACCGCTGGTAACTCGCGGCACTTCGAGCTCTGCACGGGCCTCTCCGACCAGTCGGCCCCAGGCGTGAGGGCCTGCATGAGACGCAGCGCTGGCGGGGTGAGCGAAACGGATGGACACACCCTTTCTTATTCCCACACAGAGTTATTGACGAAAACGACACAGCATTAACTTTTAGAAATAAAACGGATCATCTTAAACCCAATAAGCTTTACAAGGAGACATCAGTCACAGTGCCATACCTTGGTCACTGTCCTGGCCCCTCTGTCCCCAGCCTCCCGCTTTAGGAGGGTCAGTGGTACAGGGGCTGGAGCTGTTCTAAGCCGTACCCAGTGTCTAGTGAACAAAGGGGGTGTGCAGGGCTTGGGGGCTCTGGCCTCAGGGAACTCTGCAAGCAGCTTTTTCCTTTTTTAGGTAAAAATCCAAATATACGATTAACTATTTAAACCATTTTAAAGTGTGCAATTTAGCGACACGTGGTCCTTTCACAATGTGGTGAAACTGTCACCTCTGTCTAGTTTCAAAATCTCGTCATCACCCCGGAAGGAAGGCCCGTGGCCATCAGCAGACACGCCTCCTCCCCCCGCCAGCCCCCGCGGCCACCGTCTGCCGCGATCTGCTGGCTCCGGACCCCTCCCGTCAGCGATCTGCTGGCTCCGGACCCCTCCCGTCAGCGGGTCACACACGTGTGTCCTCACGTGCCTGGCTCCCCTTGAGTGACGTTCGTTTTCAAGGCCTGTCACGCCTGTCCTTCCTGGGGCCGAGCAGCCGTTTCTGCCCAGACGTGGGCACCGCGCACCCCGGCAGGGAGGCTCGGGGTCAGTGTCTGGGCCTTGGCTGGCTCGTGGCTGTCCAGCATGGCCAGTCACTCTTGGAGGAAGGCCATTTGTCTCGAGAAAGGGGCTCTGGTGTTCAGTGGTGACCAAGCTCGTGGAGGCCCCGGTGCCGGGGAATGGACAGGAATCTGTCCTCGCCCGGTGCTGCCCGGGTCTGCTGGTGGATAAAGGCGAAACTGTACGTGGAGTTTGTCCACTCAGGAAGAAGACCAACACGAAATCTCCCCACAGTGAGCACAGGGACACTCACACTTTGGAGAGAGATCAGGGCCTTCCGGATGGGCCGCTGGCTTCCGAGTGGGTCGCGTGTCACTCGTGGGCTGGTTTCCCCCGTGGAATGCGGAGCGCGGAGAGGCATTTCCTACTGGGGTGGGGGTCACACACCCTTCAACAGGGCCTAAAGGGTGGGCGCTGGCCCGGACCGGCCCCTCTCCAGAAAGAGACGCCCCCTCAAGGAGAATGAATGTCCATCTGTGAGCCCCAAGCAGCCTCTGCGCCCGCCCACCGGACACCCAGCAGGCAGCCTCCGGGGGAGGACATATGCTGCCCGGGGCGGGGGTGCTGGATCACCCTGACCCGCATGAATAAGCTTTTTATGCGCCTCCCCCCCACGCTGGGCTCAGCCAGGACGGCAAACGCAATCAACAGCAGACCCCGCTCGGTCCCTGGTGATATTATCATCAGACGTCTTGGGTTTCAAAGTGAGCAGCAGCGTGCAGCCCTGGGCCGCATGCTCCAGGATGGCTGGGCGGGGTCTGCGGAGCCTCAGGCCTGGGGCAGTGGGGGCGGGAGGGGGAGGG